AGATTTTTTTTTTTAAATATACAGTATGCGGATGGCCGAGCAGTACGCAAACTACCATGTACGCCAATAATTATCATAATTATTATCGCAGTGGCCGAAGCACGGTGGACCTGGTCCCTGGTGCAATGTGGTTTACCTGTTTCATATCTCTCCTCTTGTGTGGGTCCCTCTGACGCGTGGCTCCCTGGCGCAGTTGCACCGTTTGTATACTCGGATAGATACGCCACTGCATCATCACCGGCGAACTATTATACGCAGTATATCTCGAACCACCCTTTTGCAATGACCTCTCAAAATATTCGACCACAGCTGGGGCGAGGCTGTTAAGGAAACGAAGGTAACAGCATGGACGCACGCAAACCACCGCATACCTGGAAGGGGTACAATTTGTAATTTGGTTGCGGTAATTTAGAATTTAGACCGTGACATTGACACACAAATGGCTTATTCTTGAGCACCACACTCACTCACAAGCCAACCACTCAAGCTAACCATATAACCACACATCCATACCGACGCTCACACGCAAACCATCCACACAATCCGTCCATGGACACCCATACAAACCAATCGCACACACACCCAGCCATGACCTACTCACCAACAAACCAACCCCAAGCACTCACTCCCACCCACACACCTCAACATACGCACACCCTGACACACACTCTCTTCAAAGATGCACACCCCTCTAAAGATGCACACTTCATATGAACATCATCACGTATCAATCCAAATGTCACACACAGACCCCTATCTACATACACACACCTCCTCACAACCCAATCCACACGCTTCCTCCACACTCCCCAACAGACATATACAAATCCACACACGCACAAATGCATCCTTGCTCCACACACCCGTACACATCCCATATACATCTACACACATACTCGTCCACGTTACCCTCCATCAACGTTTACACATACACGACCCTCAACACACGCCTCATCTACGCAAAAACACCCCCATTCATACACCCCATTACACACCATTCCACATATCAACACACACGCGCATACATACACAATCCCTCTATCCACACATACCCCTCGAATTCACACCCAACACCACACACACGCAATCTGCCTATCCGCACATGTACACATCCCTGTACATATTTCACACGTACCCCCTTGCACACCCTTCCACACACACACACACACCCTCCGTATTACTCGCACACTCCAAATGTGCACACGCGTCTTCACATATACACGTACATAGACACGCAACCCAACACACCACGAGTACATCCATCCCGTACACTCACATCCACATATGCACACTCGTCACAAGCACACCCTTTCACACACACGACCAACACACAACTATCCCCATGTTGCCTCGAACAGACTGTTGGGGCAAGTGCTGTTAGTGAGCATCTATGAAGGGGGTGGGTGGCCAGCACCATGCCCGGTCGCCTTTGTCTCCCTAGTGATTATGTTTACACCCCGCACCAAGCACTCATTCGAGGCTGAATCGACCCAGGACCGGTTCAGATAACCGTCGCTGGTGGTGTTGGCCGTGAGCGGGACTCGAACTCGGGTCGCCGGATTCGGAGCGTCGCGCTAACCACTCCACCACGGCTCCCAACACACTGTCAAACACACACAGAACCACGCACAGCCCCATCCACACAACCTTCACACACCCCGACCCACGTAACCCGTTCACACACACACACACAGCTCTACCCACACACATGCACACCCCTCGTACAACTCCAATCCAAAGACAATCCCTTCACACACAATCACGCACACAACACCCCTGCACACACCCTCACGCACACTACACCCCCTACACGCACAATCACGCACACTACACCCCCTACACACACAATCACGCACACTACACCCCCTACACACACAATCACGCACACTACACCCCCTACACACACAATGACGCACACTACACCCCCTGGACACACACTCACGCACACTACACCCCCGCACACACAATCACGCACACTACACCCCCGCACACACAATCACGCACACTACACCCCCTGCACACACAATCACGCACACAACACCCCTGCACACACAATCACGCACACTACACCCCGACACACACATTCACGCACACTACACACCCTGCACACACACTCACGCACACTACACCCCTACACACACTCACGCACACTACACCCCTGCACACACAATCACGCACACTACACCCCGACACACACATTCACGCACACTACACACCCTGCACACACACTCACGCACACTACACCCCTACAGACAATCACGCACACGACACCCCCTGCACACACAATCACGCACACTACACTCCCTACACACACACTCACGCCCACTACACCCCTACACACACAATCACGCACACTAAACGCCCGCACACACAATCACGCACACTACACCCCTGCACACACAATCACGCACACTCCACCCCTGCACACACACTCACGCACACTACACCCCTGCACACACAATCACGCACACTACACCCCCTCACGCACAATCACGCACACTACACCCCCTACACACAATCACGCACACTACACCCCCTACACACAATCACGCACACTACACCCCTGCACACACACTCACGCACACTACACCACCGCACACACACTCACGCACACTACACCACCGCACACACACTCACGTACACTACACCCCTGCACACACAATCACGCACACTACACCCTACACACACAATCACGCACACTACACCGCCTACACACACAATCACGCACACTACACCCCCTGCACACACAATCACGCACACTACACCCCTGCACACACAATCACGCACACGACACCACCGCACACACACTCACGCACACTACGCCCCCTGCACACACAATCACGCACACTACACCCACTGCACACACAATCACGCACACTATACCACCGCACACACACTCACGCACACTACGCCCCCTGCACACACAATCACGCACACTACACCCACTGCACACACAATCACACACACTATACCACCGCACACACACTCACGCACGCTACACCACCGCACACACACTCACGCACACTACACCCCCTGCACACACACTCACGTACACTACACCCTACACACACACTCACGTACACTACACCCCTGCACACACAAACACGCACACTACACCCTACACACACAATCACGCACACTACACCCCCTACACACACACTCACGCCGACTACACCCCTACACACACAATCACGCACACTACACCCCCTGCACACACAATCACGCACACAACACCCCCTACACACAATCACGCACACTACACCCCCTGGACACACAATCACGCACACTAAACCCCCATACACACAATCACGCACACTACACTACCGCACACACACTCACGCACACTACACCACCGCACGCACACTCACGCACACTACGTCCCCTGCACACACAATCACGCACACTACACCCCTACACACACAATCACGCACACTAAACCCTGTGTACACACACTCACGCACACTACACCCCTACACACAATACCCCTACACACACAATCACGCACACTACACCCCCGCACACTACACCCCCTGCACACTCAATCATGCACGCTACACCCCCTGCACACACACCAACGCACACTATACCCCTACACACAATCACGCACACTACACCCTGCACACACACTCACGCACACTACACCCTGCACACACAATCACGCACACTACACCCTTACACACAATCACGCACACGACACCCCGCAAACACAATCATGCACACTACACCCTTACACACAATCACGCACACTACACCCTGCACACACACTCACGCACACTACACCCTGCACGCACAATCACGCACACTACACCCCTGCACACACAATCACGCACACTACACCCCTGCACACACACTCACGCACACTACACCCTGCACACACACTCACGCACACTACACGCCTACACACAATCACGCACACTACACCCCCTACACACACACTCACGCACACTACACCCCTGCACACACAATCACGCACACTACACCCTACACACAATCACGCACACTACACCCCCTGCACACACACTCACGCACACTACACCCCCTGCACACACACTCACGCACACTACACCACCGCACACACACTCACGCACACTACACCACCGCACACACACTCACGCACACTACACCACCGCACACACAATCACGCACACTACACCCTACACACACACTCACGCAGACTACACCACCGCACACCCCCTGGACACATACTACACCCTACACACACAATCACGCACACAACACCCCCTACACACAATCACGCACACTATACCCCCTGGACACACAATCACGCACACTACACTACCGCACACACACTCACGCACACTACACCACCACACGCACACTCACGCACACTACACCACCACACGCACACTCACGCACACTACGTCCCCTGCACACACAATCACGCACACTACACCCCTACACACACAATCACGCACACTACACCCTGCACACACACTCACGCACACTACACCCCTGCACACACAATCACGCACACTACACCCCTACACTCCCACACTCACGCACATCACACCACCGCACATACATTCACGCACACTGCACCCCTACACACACAATCACGCACACTACACCCCTACACACACACTCACGCACACTACACCCCCTGCACACACACTCACGCAAACTACACCACCGCACACACACTCACGCACACTACACCACCGCACACACACTCACGCACACTACACCACCGCACACACAATCACGCACACTACACCCTACACACACACTCACGCACACTACACCCTACACACACACTCACGCACACTACACCACCGCACACACAATCACGCACACTACACCCTACACACCCCCTGCACACACACTACACCCTACACACCCCCTGCACACACACTACACCCTACACACACACTCACGCACACTACACCACCGCACACCCATCGCACACCCGCCCACCACGGACCCCGCGCATGCGCCCGGGGCGTGATGAGGAGTAGGTGGGGGGGTGGAGGAGGCGCTGCGCCGAGTGGGGGTGGGTGGCTGTGGCTGTGCGTGCGGGAGGCGCTCTCTACCCACCCCCCCACCTCGCTCGCTCCCTCCTCGCTCCCTCCTCTCCTCTCTCCCTCCTCCTCGCTCGTTCGCTCCGCGGACATGGCAGGCCGAGCGGGCGGACAGCTTTGAAAAACTTGGCCCGCGTTCAAGAAGACTCTGTGTGTGTGTTCGTGTGCACGTCGCCTCTCGCGCACGAGAAGCCGAGAGCCGCCGCCGCCGCCGCCGCCTTCGTCGTCTCACGTGGAGCCGCCCGCTCCGGGGCCAGGGGAACACGGAGGCTGGGACTCGGGAGGCGACGTGAGTTCAACCACTGTACCAACACTGCTACCACCACCACGAGCGATGCTCCCTTCGTGATCATCACCTCTCTCCTCCTCCTCCTCCATCATCATCATTATTATAATCTGGGTCCAGGAAATCGACCCGAGTTCACCACTCAGTCAACCATCATCACACGTTACCGTCACCACGAGCGATACACTCTTAACCATCACCGCCTTCTTCCTCCGTCATGTTCATCACCAGGAGAGGAGACTGGGACAACCTCTTCCATCATAACCACAACCCAAACTGCCTTCATCATAACCATCACCTCTCCCCACATGCATCATTTGGGTGTTGGGGTTAAAGGAGTCTCGATGCGACGCGAGTTCCACTATCTTGAGTTAGACTTCCGTCATTATCATCATCATCGTCATGTCGCCCTCCTGCATCGTTATCACACTCTGTGGCAAGGTCAGAAGATTCCCTGGGACATTATCGAGACGCGGGTTCAACCACCGCGAGCGAGACTCAATCATTATCATCACGAGCTGCCTCCACCACCGTCTGAGTCCAGGTGGAGATGCCTGGGTCTTGGAGGTGTTGTTGAACATCGCCTCCAAGCTAGCAACCCCAGCCATCCTTCCCCCTATCATCTTCCACTCCCAGTAACCATCACCACCATCATCATCGTTGTCGTTGTACTCCCGCGCGTCTGGAGTTGAAGGCTGGAGGCATCGTTAGTGGCATCACCACCACCCCGAGTGAGACCTCCAACTTAACTTCCACCCGCTATCGTCATCACCATCGTCGTCGTCTTCACTCCTCATCTTCGTGGGCTGAGGTGGCGACGTGAGCTCTTACCCCGACACGGGGCGATACCTCCCCCGTCACTTTGTCGCCACCAGCGCCGTCACCATCACCGTCGTCACCCGGGGGGGGGGAGACGGACGCCGAGACTAAAAGCACGCGAGTTTGAACTCGGTAAACTCCTCTCGTCGTGCTCATCAACATCATTACCATCACCTGCATCATCCCGGATCGGGGTGGGGGGTAGGAGCTTGGGACTCCGAAGAGACGCGAGTTCCACCATCGAACGAGAGACAACTTTAACCTCCTCCTCCATTATCGATATATTCCCCATCATCATCATCAACTCCTCCTGGTGCCATAAGCTACGTAGTCTTGTACTCGATTTGGACGACGACGCACTTGGAACAGTCACAAAGACCAACTTCCACGATCTCTAGCGAAGTTCCCAATCCATAAGTGACAATTCGAGTATCTCCCTTCTCCATTGGTCACGAAATCATCAATAACCCCTCAACAGCATCGCCGTGACCGTCATCACCTGTATTGTCACAATATATCAAGTCATGAACAAGCACCGTCAGTCAGTTCTCACCTTTGTTATCATCATAATCTGTGGGTATCAACATCGCCGTCATTTACAGCCTCTTAACGTTCTTCAACATTCATGACATTCACTCGTTTAGCATCTCGTACCGACGAGAACTTATTTAAATCGTGACCATTTAAAACAAAATAGACGAAACTGTTCAGGACGTTTTGTGTGCGTCGTTCGCGGTTCTTTTTTTTGTTGTTGCGGCGTTTGGTGGAGAAAAAATCGTTCACGGAAAGAGAAAGGGGGGCTTCAGCCTGGCCCCGGGGGGGGGGGGGTCCCCGGCCAGGGTCCTATACACGGGCGTCGTCGGCCAATGTTCGAAAGGAAAATCCGTAGGCTTTTAGTTTTGAGTAGGCCGCGGTACTGAATGCTTTTGGCACTCGCCTGGCAGATAAAACATTTTTTTTTACAAATACTGCAAATGTAAAAAAAAACACGGTGCGAAACATTTATTTTGTTTTGTTAAATATTATCTACGTGTGGTTGTTGTTGTACAGTGTTCGCGTTGTCTGTGGTGTGTATTTATACAATGTTGTCATTTTTATTGTGGTCTTCAAATTATTGTAAATCTATTGTACTTTAAATCTATTGTACTTTAATTTAATTTTCATATTTGCCTTCGCCTAACGTGAATGTTGTTTTTTTTATATAGTACAGTAGCAATTTACCATCTTCAAAATATCGTCAACAGTTTGTTTAAAATGTACATAAATACCGTGTCATGCCATTGTGACAATCACATGGGTATATTTCCTATATTAAACGCTGTCAGTACAGTCTTGTGAATTGGTTTATAATTATTAGATGTATCTCCGTAATTTCAGTATTTTCCTAATGTAAGCGCAGTGTAATATTTAAAACTATGAAGCTGTTAAACATTGTGCGATTCAGCGTAGATCGGATAACGATTCGACTCGTACTTTGATGCTCTTGCTATTTTTGACAAGTTCCATTTCACAAAGCTGACGTGGACTCGAGACGAAACAGAAACAAGTTGTTGAGAAAAAGGGCCGTTGTGGTACAACCACAGACTCTTCAGATATTCGTTTCTCTCACGACACACAAAGCCATGGCACTTGTACATTGTGCACATTGCGATAGAAATCGGAAACACGCGTACCCAACATAACACACACGTGGTGTGCCTGGACACAACAACAACAGCATGAGAACATTGATGTATCACTGTGCGTATAAAATATTGGGAAATGCGATGGTAATATAAGTGGCTGTGTAAGTACCCTTAAAAGAGTATTGCCTGTTTTAAAAACAAAAAGTTTGTAAAGTGAAAAGGTGATTAAGGGAGTAAAAGGGGGTGGAATGTTATTCATCTGAAGGAAAGCAGATGGTTTTTATTGACGGTGAGCCAACCCCGTGCAATCAATGTGGCCAAACAACGAAGGATAAACCGTCCTTCACGTGAACCCGGCCCAGAAACAACCTTTGTAGGCACATGGTATATTCAATACCTCATAACGTCGAACCTTTCCCCCCGGCGTGCGGGCGAAGCAATGCGTGGCCGCTATTGGTATACAATAATAATAACGATGATGGATGGATAGGTAGAGAGAGAGAGTTCCTTTATTTAAACCAGGTGAGAGCCCGTTGAGACAGCCCAATCTCCCGTGCAAGGGAGATCTGAGTACATTGAGAAGGTGCAGGGCAGCCGCGCGTTTTCTCTTTAGTGTTATCAATCATAAGACGGTTAACTCTGTGATGGCAATAATGATACAGCTTAAACCAGTAAACCATTCGCATAATTTGCCCACTTTCTCAGATGATAGGGATCGTATATTTGTAATAGTTTTTGCAGGAGACTTGTAATAATGTCAAAGTTAAGATTCACCATTGCAATATGAGTGAAACCAATCTATGTAATTTTGAGAGATGGGAATTATGGAAATGTGTATTTTTTATGGTTTATATCTGTAAGCATGAACTTCAACTACATTAGTGAACATTTTAAGCGTTTTAGCCGTTCACGAACATGGTCAGAATTTACATCTGTCTTGATCGTTTTTATGTGTTGGATGTTTAGTGTCAAACTGAGTATTTTCATTGCATTTAAGATCTACTTGTTTTGTAATATGGTCATACACAAAGCTTTTCTGCCTTTATTAATGTAGGTGTACTGCTATCTTAAGCAAACTTAATGTTTCCACAGTTTTGTGAACGTTTGCACTAGGGGCATGTTCCATTTTAGTTGCTGCAACATTTTTTGCGTGATACAGTATTAAATGTCCAATGAAATAATAATGTATACTATCTGCAGTATTTGTATGCACTGTATGTCATCATCATAATCACCTTCATAATGAGCAATTCAGAACAGATCTTAATAGGCAATCATCACAAGCACGATTCAATGATATGCTTTTACAAAGGAAAACATGCATTGCATATTAAACCCATGAAAGTAAATAATGTAAAACAAGGTAATGCTAAAACGTTTTCATAAAATATTACACACGTGAAATTAAAAGTCAGAAGACCCATAAACAATGATATTACATTATAATACTGTGTATGATGTAAAGTCTTGGCGTTGGACAGTGTTATGTGGTTTGTCTATATGTTTACATTACAATATTTAAAATTATTTGAGATCTTAGTCAAAAGTGATTTATGTAATTATATCTGTTAAAGTATCAAATGTTTAAGTGCTTAAGGATGTGAGAGAAATTATAATTCCCCATGTAAAATTAAATTCAGCATTGATGTCATCAATGTTTATTTCGTGGACTGCGACGCTTGCGATTTTTCTGTGTATACGATAGAAGACACTGAAATAATAATTGTGTACTATTATCAGTACTATCATGTACAGTCGGTGAATATCTGATCTTTGCTCTGAATACGGGCCGTTGCCCAAAACATCAGCCTTTTAAATATTTTTCTCTTATAACGCAGTTTCAATTATTGTATTTGTCTACCACTGCCGAAGCTGTTTTTAAAAATGTATTTGTGTTTTTAAAGTTGCATAAATCCTTCTGCTAATGATGTTGTCAGTGTGTTTTCACATACTTCACTTAATCACTTGTAATGCTATGCTAAACCTACTAAACCAGGAATAGGATATACGAGGCCGGTGTTAATTCACTGCTCATTGCACTACACTTTTGCATTATGTTTGAGATAATGACAATATGTTGATGGTGATTGATGGCGATTCATATCAGTGTTGATGGCGCTACTTTATAATGGTGATGACATTAACGTAAATGTGTTTTTGACAACATTTTACGCTTCCAGAATAATAAGACAAAGTATATGTTTTTGTTGTATTTTGGTTTACATATTTATTTTCGATTTGTATCACCGTGTGCATTTTTTACTGTGTGTATGGTTGGAAGCATGGTTAAGAAGGCATCACAATGCAAAGCATTGAATTGTGATGCCTTATATTTGAACTTGAAGATAAACTGTTATTTTCGCCATAAGACTAATTTGTAATGCCACTACTTATAGTGTGACATAAATATTTTGAGTTTCCAAGTTGATTTAAATTACCGGCACAGGGCACATACAAATCTGTATTTTTCTTATTACGCTACCTTATCTGTACAGTTCAAAAGGCAATCTAATATTTTAAGGCACTGCAGTGTTTCAAATGAATGTTTAATAGCAATAA